GTTACAGACAAAACCACATTTCCAAGGTGCCCCATTTCTGGAGGATGGGCCCCAGTGATGCCAGCTGCCCCATGCATTGCAGAGGCTGGGGCTGGATATGTCCCCTGTCCAACAGCAGCATCCACGTGTGCCCACTGGTGCTGCAGCAGGTCAGTGCTGAGGCTGAAGGGAGCACTGGGAGCACTGGGAGCACTGGATGGGCACTCATGAGCATGTGCTGCTGCTTGGTGAGGATGGAGGTCTCACCAGAGCAGTCCCCATGGGTAGTACACTTGTAGGGGCACTGTCCCATTGTGGGTTTGCAGATGGGAGCTCTGTGGAAAGCCCTTCCTGCAATTGGGCATTTATAGCATCTCTGCTTCAGGGGTCTTTTGGGACAAAGGCTCTCTGTGTCATCCCTGAGGTCCCCAGCAGCCTGGGAGAGGGTATCCCTGTGGTCCTCTCATGTGCCAGAGCCTCCACCTCCTCCTCCTCCACATTCTCACTATCTGTCAGAAGAAAGAAAGCTCAGCTGTAACTTCTTACATGGAACACCCGCAGCTGCTGGAGACCCTGCTCTCATGGGAGTCACCCGCAGCTGGGTCAAAGTGCCCCCAGGGGGATGAACAAGGCCCAGGAGGGCCCAGGACCTCAGCCCTGGTGGCAGTGCCCTCCCCAGCCTTGGTGCTCAGGAGTTTATCTGCGATGTGGGAGAAGAAGGCCAAAGCTCCCTGAGGCCAACACAGGTCTGGTGAGCTTGAGGAGGAATAGGGAATGCTGCTGTGACCCTGAATTCTTCAGCCTTTGGGGACACCTTGCCTTTAGGCAGAAGCCCAAATGACAGGTGTCATAGCGGCTGCCTTGGCCTGGTGGGGGACCTTATAGAGTCCGTAGAGGATGTAGCTGGTCCTGTTCCTTTTCCTTGCCAGAAGACCTGGGTTAACCCAATCCCCATCAGCAGGGCAGTAAGTGTGCTCTTTCTGTGGCCCTTGCTGCGGGACTGGCTCCAGGTATGTCTCTGCTGTGCCCATGGCCTGGAGGAAAGGAGCTATTAAAGACACTGTTGGCCCACGAACAAATCGGCCATCAGGAAATTGAGGCTGGAAAGGAGAAAGCAGCCAGATCCGGACCAGGGGAGCAGCAGCAGAGGCTGGGAGGGCTTTCCCAAGACGAGATTGCAACCAGCCCAGCTGCTGCAGAGCCGGCACCAGAGCCTGCGAGGAATAAGATTATCCAGAAGGTGCCTGCGAGATGGGAGCTGCCGTGGCGAGATGCCAGGGAGGGACGTCAGCCAGGATGGAGGCACTTCAGATTAAAGCTAACACCCTGCTCAGAGAGGCTGTGCAGGGTCGCAGCCCCAGGCAGCGGCATGTGGGATGTCTCTACCCCAAAAAGTTCAGAGGTCCCATGGGATGAACTTCACCTCAGAGCCCCCTCAGGAGAGGGAGGGCACTGAGGACACAGGGTGCCACTGCAGGGTCTCGGGGTCCCCGAGGCCTGAGCTGTGCCTGGTATGCAGCCTTGAACCTCTTGGGAGCAGGGCTGGTTATGAGTAGGGCTGCTCATGGAATGTGGGGCAAGAAGCCAAAACGATCAAGTCCTCAGGCGCTGGGAGGAAGAGAAACTCACTGCTGGGGAGTGCCACAGCGACATCCCCTGTGCGAGCAGGGACACGCCGTGCACTGGCAGGCAGGGCTGGGGTTACGGCAGGACACCTGGGAGGATGCTGCCTGGTTTGCTTTTTTTTTTTTAATGCCTGCTTAGCAAAATATAAGAGTTTTTTTCTCTGGGGACACAGTTCAAGATGGGAAAACCTGGCAGTGAGGCCCAGTGAAGGGACAGGGACTGCATGTGGCTCCCCTCCAGGTGACCCTGCGGGAGTGGGGAGGCCCTAGGGGTGTCCCTGCAGGTGTTTTATAGCTTCCCAAGAGGGGAAGGGGGTGGGTTGCTGGTTATGCATGGCACATCCTCTGCTGCACCCCTGCTTTCAGTCCTCAGTGAGGAAACTGAGGCACAGAGCTACACAAGGGTTCTTTTCTGATGCTGGAGCTGGTTAGAAGAAGGTTTGACCTCCCAGCTTCTTCAAAAGAAAAATCCCAGGCCTCTCTCTTGCATTCCCTGCACCTCCTGAGATGTCACTGAGTCCCTTTACAGGGCAAACCACACTCTGAGATCTGCAAGCCCAGCAGGCTCCAGGACAGAGGGACCAACCACAGAGGGCAGAAAGGTGATCCTGGGGCTTGCAGGCAGGGTGCTGGCAGCAGGGCACTCTGACAACTGGGTGCCCAGCCTGCTCAGCACCCACCGGCATCCATCCTCCATCACAGGGATAGTGCTGTCAGGGCCAGGCAGGGTCACATCACCCCCTGGAGCTCTCCTGCTTGCTCCATGGGTGCCAAGGGTGCAGCCCCCAGCCCAGTGTTCCCACTCACCTGGTACCAGGCTGGGCGGGCAGGGCAGTGGTGGGCACTTCTGTGAGCAGGATCCAGCCGGCCTGTGCAGCCCCAGCTCTTCAGGGCAGGTGAGAAATGTAGTTTTCTGTTGCAATGGCCAGAAGGAAGAGGCTTTTCCTTTTGCGAAGTGCTGTGAGAAATGTAATTCAATCCCAGGAGGAGTTGGCTGCAATGCGGGGCACCATCTGCCCAGTGCCTGTCCCCAGGCTGCCCTGGCCCCATGTGCACAGCCCTGTCCCCAGCATCCCTGGGGGTCCCAGGAGGGACAGGTTTCTGCACAGAACTGCTTGTGGGAAGATATTGGGGATCTGCACAAGACAGTTTTGTAGGCTTGGTGATGGGAAGGGTGACACTGGCTGAGGGCATCACAGCAGTGTAACACAGCAGGGACACAGTGGTGGCCCTGTGCCCCCCCAAAGTTTGTTTAGTCACCAGCACAGGAGAAACTGTCCAGCTGCAGGACAGGAGCTGTGTCCCATACCCTGAGGACAAGACACCTGGGTGGGCACAGGCTCCCAGCAAAACCCACCCTGTCACCAAGCACCCAGAAGCGGAGACATGGTGCACTGGAGCCCCTGACAGGGCTGGCTGTGGCCAGCAGCAAGGACCCTCCTGAGAAGCCTCAAGTCCTGCAGCCTTCAGCAGAATGCCCATTCAGGACCCCCAGGGGACACATGGCTGTCCTGCTCAGGTCAGGGAAGAGCAGTGAAGATGTAGCAGTGCCATATCCCCACCAAACCTTGTTTCCCCAGGCCAGGCTAGCAGCATCTCCCAGTGCCCCTGCACCTTCCAGCTTTCTCTGCAGCTTCCCTGGGGACGCTACACCAAGGGCACCCAGGCTGGTACCTCCCGCTGCCCCCAAGGAGGATGCCAGGTTAGATGTGGGCCTGAGATGGTCTTGTGCTGCCCTCCACCCAGCCGCCCTGTCTGGCAGGCTGGTCCCCACGGTCCCCCCAAAGCTCAGTTCTTGCTCTGAGCTACCTCTGTCCAGGGATGCCCGTCTCCTGCCAGCCACAACCAGAGCTGTGGGGCAGGAGTGCTGGGGCTGTGTCCGAGCTGAAGGCCCTGACCCTGCAGGGGAGGCAGGAGAGGACACCAGAGGAACAGCCACTTGCAGAGGAGCTGCGGTGGGGCGGCCACAGGGCTGTGGGCAAGGCTGGAAACAATCACAGCTTCTAGTGGTTGAGGACACTGTCCCCATGCTGGTGCTGGGCCAAGCTCCATCAGCGCTGGTGTTTTCCTTACTGGTGGGAAGCCACGAGCCTGGAGAGCTTGTGGGCAGCACTGCCCTGCCTGCAGCCCTTCCTGCTGTCCTGGCAGGGCTGACACTGCCCCAGAGCCCCTCCACAGGCCCAGCAGGTACCGCTGAGTGGGACCAGGGAACCAAAGAAATCCTGGGAGCTGGTGATGGTGGGGACGGGGACACTGGCTTTGTGATGGTGGGAGTGTGGCAGGATCAGGGCCCCAAGGCAACAAGGCCTGGCCTCTGGGCTGGGTTTTCAGTTGGGATATTCAAAAAAGCCTCACATGAGAGCAGGACCGAGGGCTGGGGCTTGCACAGGATCTCTCCTGCCTGGTCACAGGTGGAGGGTACTGAAAATTTACATCTTTTCTCTTGCAGCACTTCTGGTCCCTGGGACTGGCAAATGCCCTAGCACTCCTCTCCTTGCCCTTGTGCCAGCCACATCCTTCACTCCATTCATTCTCATGGCTTTCACCCTCTAACTGTGCCCTGGAGGCAGGCCCAGGAAACCCCCCAAACCTATTCTGGAAAAGGCTCTGTTGGTGGGCACAGGTTTGCACCACAGCCAGCATCCCAGCACTGATCCTCCTGATGCCCAGGCACACACCAGGTTGCTTGGGTCCAGCTGCATGGGAGCCCAGGGATCAGGTGGAGGGATGAGCACCCTAGCAGAGACCTGGCCTTTGGGTGTCAGGGCTGGAGGGGCAGGCATAGCCAGGCAGGGTGTGAGGGACCAACTGCATGAGTTTTGCTAACTGGAGGAGTTTCAATAAGGACAAATTCCGGGTTCTGCACTTTGGCCACAACAACCCCCAGAAGCGCTACAGGCTTGGGGAGGAGTAGCTGGAGAGCTGCCAGTCAGAGAGGGACCTGGGGGGGTTAATCAACAGCTGGTTGAACATGAGCCAGCAGTGTGCCCGGGTGGCCAAGAAGGCCAAGGGCATCCTGGCTTGTGTCAGCCATAGTGTGGCCAGCAGGGACAGGGAAGGGATCTCACCACCATACTTGGCACTGGGGAGGCTGCCCCTCGATTCCTGTGTTCAGTTTTTGGCCCCTCACCCCAAAAAGGCCATTGAGTGACTCGAGCGTGTCCAGAGAAGGGCAA